TAACAAAAAAAAAAAAAAAAAACGCTTTTGTGACAGAGGTCAACAATTATAGTGTGTAGTAGTGTCACTGTGTCCATTATCTGACATTTCGTCCTCATCTCCACTTTGTTTTACAAGAATTCCGCAAAATGAAAAATGCAAAGAATGCCCGTAAAAGCTCATATGGTATGCATGCAAAGCATGTTGGAGAAATATGAAAAATGAATAGAAAAACGAAAATTTCAGTATCATTTACTTTATCGCCAAGGTATACTCTATCTGAAACACTTGAGTGAATTACGATTTATAAAACCGTTTTCTAGTTCAAACGTCTCATTTTTGATGTTTCTGTTTCCAAAACTTGAATGAGTTAAGAAAAGAATCGTAGAAATCAAAAATCGTGATCGTGAGTCTGTGAACAGTTTTGGATATGGTATACATTGGTCATTAAAGGGGGAGGTGTCGAAATGTCCGGGATAATTCTTTTTTGCCGTATGAAGTTCTAGTTCTCAAATTGTTTCTTTAAGCTAGTTCAATCTTAAAAATGTATTTTCAGTCCGGCATATCTGAGTATGGAAATCTGTAGAAAGACGGACGGAGGGTGCAAGAAAATTTTTGTGGAAAGGCAAATTTTCTCATTGTATTTTTGGCAATAAAATTCCATAAGACATCAAAATAAGAATTATACACTGTCCCTCAACTGGAGGAAGGCGGGAGACGTCTTTGGGGTGAACTGAACACTTTACTTGTTTAATAAAGAAAACTTTTGAATATCAATTGCAGTCAAAAAATTCAATTGCCTTGACGACTTATTTCTTCACATAATGAAATTAAAGGTAAAATGTCAACATGCCAACGGAAAACACCATGCCCATACTTGTAGATCCTGCCTCTCTACCAGGTGGCCGCATGATATAGCCTAAAGTGAGTATTTCTTTTTTCATTTAGCGCCTTGATGTGGTATGAATTAAGGTGATATACGATCCACCCGAAGCGCAAAGTCGGCATTATCCAAACATACAGTTTATTTCTTTCCCACACAATAAATAACACAATAGTACAAATCCGGACAGAACAATACTCATAATCATTCCTTGAATCAAAGTAAATGTAAACATATATATATTACCGCTTATTACAGTATGTCTTAAAACAAAGTCTTGTGCAAGTTATATCTGTGGCATGAGGACGAGCAAAAACATGATTTAGGTTTGCAAGGTGTACTCCATTGAACTTTTCGCAGCACTCTGCAGTGCATGAACATTCACAAACCACGCTTCTCCGTGAGCACAACACCACGTGCGCATATAATCTATTTCTGGTATTTTATAAAATTGTAATCGTCCCGACAAACATGGTTTATTAGGGCTTTTCTTTCATATATAGAACCCTGATGCATATGCGTGATGTCTTTTCGATTTTTTTTCTTTTTACAGACAATCTAACTTTTCAACATGGCATGGTGAAGTCGTTATGATGATGATGATCGGTCACGAAACTGGCATGACAATAGTATCAAAACAATAAAAAAATCTTATGGTAACGCTATAAAAGACCAGACAAAATTGGTAAAATGGCAAACAATCCCCGACCGAAATCAAACTTTTTTTCGCATTCTTTTATTTCCATTATCAAATGTTAAAAGTACATTGGGTGTTGGTTTGGTAAGCGGAAAATATTTACAATTGAATCGAAGAAAAAATCCTTAGTGCTGTTGGTTTTATGCTCTAATTACCCCACACTGCAGATTTGACGCCCCACCCTGTAAAAAATAAATAAATAAATAAATAATAATAATTAAATAAAAAATGACGTACGAACTTGAATATTTTTGCTTTTCTCATTAAGTTTGAAAGATAAAAACAAAAATAAATTCCGCCTACTGACTCTGTTTACAGATAATAGTCACCGCTCGTTAACCTGGTCTAGAAAGAATTCAAAAAAGTATACGTTAATCTCCATCCCTCCATTTCGCACTACATCTTGGGAGAGAAAAAATTTGAAATATTCAGGAAAATAATTGGAGGTATGACGGTTTTCCCACCACCCAAAGTACGCCCTTAAAATAATTTGCCCACGTGCGTGACGATAAATTTTAAAACTTAAATTATTAATATTTATTTGACCATCTTTGTAACGTAGTTACGATGCAGTTAATGACCAATTCTTGTGCTTGGTACGGGGTTTCTCCACAGTCAAAAACCGATGATTCCACTTTGGTGCTGTGTACNAATTTTTTTTTTCACTGTCGGTTTCGTTAATACCGGTTTTAACTCTTACGTTTGTTTCTTGCCCATCTTAAATCACACCCTGTATTGCAGAGCACCTCCACATGTGATTCTGGTGTCATGGACGCTATTTTTGGAATACATGTATAAGGGGTAGATGCTTAATTGCATTCCAGCCTATGCATCTATATTTTTGTAATCCAGCTCGATGTTGAGTACTTTCTACATGCTGTCCATGTAACTCAACGATAAATGAGGGTTGAAAAGGGACAATGCATCAAAGTATATGTTTTCTTAAAGGGATAATAACTCTTCGTATGATATCTATATTTGACAATAAAAACATTGTGAACAACTCAAAGAAATATAATATATTCTGTTTTACCACAAAAAACGGCAGTTATAGCTTTTATTCTGATATCTGAGCTTGTCGTCAGATCACGTGACCTCCATTGATGGCTGTACTCGGTTATAATCTCTTAAGAGATTTTAACAAAAAAACAAACTTTTTAGAAAAAAAAACAGGGACTAACTTTGAATGTAAAAATGGATTCATTAACCATTGGTAAGTATGGGAAAATTCATTTTTTGGCCAAAACGAAGAGTTATTATCCCTTTAAATAAATGAGTGAAAATAAAAGTTTCAAGTTATAACCGATGAGAATAGATCTTGGATGGATCATAAATATGGCGGTCAGGAGTAAAAGTTTGAGGCAGTCACGTCAGCATCTGTCTCACGTTCACATAAGCAGACAAGACCAGGCACGTTTTGTTACTTAAACTCTGCTTGAAGGATGAATCGTGTCAAGGTGTGCGTTTATATTTACAAATGAATGGGGAAATAAGGTTTTAAGGTTTTGAATAATAGATTAATTGTGGTAAATAAGATTAAAATAACGTACACATGGGGATATCTCTTTTGACTTGAAAATTCAGCGATACTTTCTGTAATATCATATGAATTACAAACTGACTTTTCTCGCCTTTTTACGAATTGAGAGTAGTGCCCTAGGGAATTAATAAAAGAACACTCGTTTAAGCATAGGTCTTCGTTTCATTAAGCGGATTTTCAAATCAGGCATGGCTGTCATTCTTGTATCGTGCATTTCCATATATTCCCATTGTTGAAGGATTTACACCGTTAACGATATTAATTGAGTTTCAGGGAGTTCCCTGGAAGCTACGCGATCGCCTACATATCCCATATAATGATCTTAATAATACGTAGAACGCGGAGACTTTTGAAGAGATGTAAATGCGTATGGGGTTTATTTTCACTCGTTTCCTACGAATTGTGATTTCAATGGAGTGCTGTCGTTGTGACGAGAATGACAGGGCGCTAGGAACCGCGGTCCGCTTCCATTAACTTTGAACAGGTGATATTCGTCCCAAATACTAACGTTAACCCAATACTCCAACTTACACTAACCCTTAAACCCGTACTTATCATATGGTACCCTCAAGTTCCGTTTCAAGGACTACGATGTATCGGGGTACCATTCCTGTCCCAAAAGTGACAAAGCTTAATTACTAGTTAGGATATAATTTTGTGTCACTGTATTTTATTTCTATGTACCTGCTATCCATGGGAATAGGGTCCATTTTGCCAAATTCTTATCATTATCTTATTTTTGTTATTTTATTATTTATTTATTTATTTATTTATTTATTTATTTATTTATTTATTTATTTTTTGGCAGGTATTTGTCAATGGGGTGGTTTCTGTCCTAAAGTGTAGAGTTTGTCTTATCTTGATTTTCATTGCCACCTGAGGGAGTGCTGTGCTATTTTTGACTTGTTCCTTAGAAAATGTTCCTCCAATTGTGTAAAAAAATCAATGCATTTGCATAGGTGATTTGGTCAAAAGTTTATAATAAAATACCGGTGCATTGTAATTAATACATTTCATAAATAAGGGAAGATTATTTTATTTTTAAATTGTTGAATTTATTTTGTTGTATTAATATAAAATGCGTTGCTATTATCGGAACCAAGCGTAAAACCCCAATTGCAAGCTAGCTGGATGCTGCGCGTTTTTGCAGAGAAACATTAAGTCAAACGTGTCGGAGGCATGCAAAGGGATGTGACAGTTGAAAAGGAAGACACAAGGGGATCTGCCCTGACTGGAGTCTTGAGGAGAGGTGCTTGCTACATTGATGATCGTTGGTAATACCGCGACAACTCAAGTGTAACTTTACAAGTTGCAACTCTAGTGCCACCAAGTCTGAATTGAAACTAGAAATAGAGCAGTGTCAGTAAGCGTGTGACATCGCTAAAGAAGCAAAAACAAGGATACAGGGCCAAAATATTGTTTGTCTTACTTCCTACAACTGGTGCAAATCTATGTTTGAGCTGCACAGTTGAAAATGAGGCGTGTTATCAGAAACGGTTTGTCAGCATATCCCAGAGTCCAAAAAGAGAAGGCAGAGAATAATAACTCTTAAAATGTGAATCCTAGTCACTGAAGACATAGTCACGGATTGCTTATCATTTAGTATCGCAAAATGTTTGTTCTGAAACTGAAGTCATTACTGCCTATTGTGAATGGAAAGAATTAATTCAAAGGAGGAAATTAATGTATTAACTATGCAAGAAGCACTTGGAGGATATCAATTGATGGCTAGTTCAAAACAATTCCAGCACTTCATAGTAATACTTATCATAACTATACTGATTTGTCTGTACTATGAGACACGTTTACACACATTTAAACTGGATCGTGGTCCACCAGCGCCAATATACGTGCCACAGAAGACTATATCCATTAACTTCTGGGCTCGGTTGGGTAACCAGATGTTCCAGTTTGCTTCTTTACTCGGGATAGCTGCCAGGAATAACCTCACTGCTGTGATACCCTATAACCCCGAGATGGAGCGAATATTTAAAATCAGCACCCCCAGTACAAAAAACCTCCAAAATACCCTGGGGATGTATCTGACTGTGACGCAGTTTTATGGGCGCTGTTGTTACTACGACATTCTCACTGAGACACTGGACCCCAGGTATAACTATCTACTTTACGGTTACTTTCAGTCGTGGAAGTATTTTAAAAATGTCAATGACATTGTGAGACAAGAGTTCCAGTTTAGGGAGGAGATCTTAAATGAAGCTAAAAAGTTTCATCGTGATGTCAGTAACAAGTTTCAGTGTCATGAGAATAATTCATGTACTTTTGTTGGAATTCATATTAGAAGAGGTGATATCTCTGATTATGACGTATATAAAAAAGCTGGATATACCACCCCCAGTGAACAATACTTCAAAACAGCTATGAATTTCTTTAAAAGAAAACATAAAAACAAAGTGGTCTTTATTGTATGCAGTGACAGTAGTAAAGGATGGCAGAAAAAATTGACATCAAGTGACGTTGTTTTCTCTCATGCCAAGGACCAAGGAGTGGATCTCGCTATTTTATCTCTGTGTCAACATATGATCATAAGTACGGGGACATATGGTTGGTGGGCTGCATTTCTGACAGGGGGCACCACCATCTACTACCGTGATTGGCCAAAAGCTGGGTCCTGGCTTTACGACCAAGTTTTTAAGGAGGACTACTTTGTGCGTGGTTGGATACCTATGAAGTGATGATTAATGTAGGAGCAACCCTAGCACAATTCATTTGAGCTGAATTTGCTGTTTTTATAACTGTGGTAAATTGATAAAAATGAAGGAATGGATACACAGATAGAAAATATTAATAAGAAAACCCAAAATGCATTTTGAAAACAAGCCAAGGTCATTTTTAGTAGTTGTCAAAAATGTAAAGAGTCAAGATTTGGTGCTTCTAATACCCCAAGTTATATAAAGTGAGATTCATTTCTGTAACTTAAATGACTAAATCCCTGATTTATGCTTAAAATTGAGCTAAAACTACAGTGGACAGGTGCTGATAAGAAAATTGCTTTACTGTATAATCACATATTTGCCGTAACTACAGGAACAGATTTTTTTGTATATGTTACACATAACCATATAGGCCAAAAAATTAATTCTTCAAAGAGAAATAAATAGACAAATAAATTTTCAGATATATTGTAAAACGCTAGTAAAAATTTACATACATTATACTGAATTTAACTATGTATTAAACATAATCTACTCATTATTCAAGTTCTGATTTCCCTTATATTTTGTCTGTTGTTGGCCAATAAATGGATTTTTTTCATATCGCTTTCCAGTCTTTCTTGTGGCTATGATACATGTAGCATTTCAAATGCATGATAAAAGTTTAACATTATACACTTTTGTGAATAAAAGTGCATATCTGTAATCAAAATACTTAAAATTTATCATTTGGTTTGACAAAAAAAAAAAAAAAAAGCCTCGTCTTATACATGAAATTTGCTCTTGCATCATCGGATAGAAAATGTCTTTTTAGATAAATATACATTTTTTTCTGGCGTTTTTTAAAAAAAAGTTCACTCAGGCATCTGAGAAAAGAGGGTTCTCTATATGAACGCTGGAGTCCATCTTAGTGTCCATGTGGTCATTCTGGAAACCCACTGATATGTTCTTGTCTCCTGGCTTGCCTGTATTCTGACGTTGACGCCTGAAATGTAAACCATCGTAAACGAAAATAATCTGCATCTTCTTGTACACATCAGAGTTCTGGAAGTGTAGTTACCTATCGGAAGGCTAACATCATTTCTAGCTACAAAGCGCTGATGTGTGGAATATATATATTTTCCCAGTGGTGCTCATCTTAAGACAGTAGCTTTATTTATTTTGTATGTATGTGTAAAACACGAAAAATGCATTTTTACTTCAAAGTGCGAGGTTTTAAGTAAGCCATGCCATGCCACAATGCCAACATTTTTTTCTATTTAATTTTTGTATTGCGTCACCCTGAGCTTCAGAGCTAACTTGACACTTTACCTTTTCACTGTAGCCTATCTCCATCGTGTCAAAAAACCTCTGACCAGATTCGAGTGCCCCCGCCGCCCGCCAATCAAATTTAAAGCCCGCACTCAATGACTCATTAAACGATCTAGCCAATGAACGCGAACGAGTCAAAGCGCGCTTTGTTCAAATCCGGACCAATCAAAGATAAGGCTGAATATCAGGGACTTGCCGTAACCTGTGGGCAGCACGCAAAATACATCATCCCTCAGTAGATAATAATGCAGGGCATCATACTGCTCTGGTTTCAATTCCGATATACTCCATGCTTTCTTTGTGTACGGTTATGCACTCGGAACTACTCGGATGTCTCCGCACTCGACAATAATTATGTTGTTAGTATGGAGCTTGCGGAATCAGCCGAGGATTGCCGATTGACGATCAACCAATCAGCGTTTTCACCAAACTTTGGTGAAAATTTTTGAAACATGGATTCGATTGGCTTATATAAAATAGGTCAAACTATTTTCGTCAGAGGTTACTTGACACGATGGAGATAGGCTACAGTGAAAAGGTTAGTGTCAAGTTAGCTCTGAAGCTCAGGGTGTATTGCGTGTGAAAATGTGAGGTGCATAAGTTGGTAATCGAAACGTTTATTTTTCACTTTGGCGTCAGTTTCTTTATTTTAATTTAATTTTTTTATTATAATTGTATTGAATACCTTCACTGGTAAGCGAAAAATTGCGTTTATGCATCGGTTTGCGTCCCATAAAGCGGATTTTCAAGCGACGCAGTGCCGTCATTGTAAACTATGTTCAGTTCCATATTTCCGTTATTGGAGGATTTTCCGTTTACGAGATTACGAGTGTCAGTGGGTTTGATGCCACGTGATCGCCTGGAAAAGCCCATTAAAGTTGATGAGTTAAGTTTTTTTGCTATTAGCTCATCACACATTTTGTTTCAAGGTTCATTTCAAAATTTTAACCAGATAAAAAGGTGCCCTGCTTGAATTATGCAAGGAATTAAAAAAAAGTGTTTGCAAAAAGACGCCAAAGGCATATGTGCACATTTTATTTTCCAAAACATAATTTATCTTTGATTAACTGTTTTGACGCGATTACCCAAAATAAGAAGACTGCCGAAAATGTTATTCATGGTACACGTAAGGCAAAATAACATCCTTTATTATCATATAAGCTGATCGCTCCTTCCAAAAGACTTTTAAGGCGTCAATAGTAAATTTAGTGAAAAAGTGATAGCTGTACAAGTTTGTGGAAATGTTGTTGAAAAAAATCAGTGTTGAGAATCAAGTTTAGTTGTTTTTTTTTTTTTTTTAACTTTTAGTAACCTTTTGAAGAAAATACCCTTTTTGTCGTGCTACAGTTTACAATTGCTCTGTTGGTTTCAATCTATCGTTTCGAGTGACAAACGAGAGACCTTGGATGGATAAGATGTGAGAAACAGAAAGGACTCACCTTACGATAAAAATAAGAGCAATCGCCACTACCACGATGGCCACCAACCCGCCAGCAGCGCCACCTGCCGCCACAGCCACATTGCCTGGAAAAAATAAACACAATACGTCTGTCGCAGCTCATCTAACATACATCTAACGCAGTGGTTCCCTTCAGGTGTCAGAATTTGGAATCTCTTTCTCATTCTCTCTTTGTCACAGCAAACAAAATAGAATCGAATTAATGAATAAAGTTAACACGACCTACAGTGTATATTTCCCTACCCCCCCCCCCCCCCACACACACACACAAAAAAAACTTTAATTAAAGGACAACCTTCTTTCTAGTAAATACTGCTGGTGCCAGATTTTTGGCATCTGCATCGACTGATTCTGATCACGTGAAACTGAGAGAAGGTTAAACCAACCCATACGTAGAATTAACCCAATCCGAGTTCGTCTTCATTTAAACATACAAGTATGCAATTGCACTGACGTAGCAAATACAGTTATAAAAGAGCCTAACAGGTAAACCAACAAATCCAAGCTGCACCATTACTTTTGCCATAGATTCGAAATACAGCATAAAATTAACATCCATGTATGGATAAGGATTTCTTCTGCTGCAAATGGTTTGACAAGATCAAACTCATCATACCTGACCCATCTCCTCCGCTGTTCCCCTTCAGCCGATCACTCCCATTGATTTCATTTGGGGCAGAACTTGTGGGCACCCTTTTCCTGGTAGGTCCGGTAGAAATTGTTGAGCCCGGGTTTGAGATGGGTTTTGTGCTGGTTGTGGGTTTATCTGTAGATTTTGGTGTAGCTGTTGATGTTGTGGGTGTGGGTGATGTGGGTGATATTCCAGGCTTAGTGGACTTGGCAGGAGTTGGACTGGTAGTGCCTGAAGAATATAGAATTGTAGTTGTAGTTTTAATTGTTTGTTTGGTCGTGGGTTTTGTCGTGGGTTTTGTTGTAGGTGTTGTTGTGGGCTTGGTTGTAGACTTTGTCGTAGGTTTAGTGGTTGTCGTTGTCGTGGATTTTGTCGTTGGTTTAGATGTAGGTGTAGTTGTAGGTCTTGTTGTAGGTCTAGTTGTAGATATTGTTGTGGGTTTGGTTGTAGACTTTGTAGTAGGTTTAGTGGTTGTCGTTGTTGGTCGAGCAGTAGGCGTTGTTGTTGGCATTGTGGTCGGTTTTGTCGTTGGTTTAACTGTAGGTTTAGTTGTTGGCTTTGTTGTTGATTTAGTTGTAGGCTTAGTTGTAGCTTTAGTTGTTGGTTGGGTTGTTGGTGTTGTCGTTGGTTTAGAAGTAGACGTAGGTTTTGTCGTAGGTTTAGTCGTTTGCTTGGGTGCAGATGAGGTAGTTGGTGCAGCTGTTGTTGAAGTTTTACTTGTACTTCTTGAATTTGTAGTTGTGTCAGAACTGTTAAAACCTGAAGAAAAATAGGTTCCAGTAACCGCATTGTGCACAGATGCGTTATAAATTTACTGATGTTGTTCAGCTTAAAATAGTAATCAGAAACAGACACGACTTCTACCAAGCGACGAATTTTCTGTAATGATACCGCTGCGCGCTACATGTACTCGTTTCAGTAAGATGGTTAAATTAAACAAAAATTGTTGACTATGTACATATCCTAAGATTAAATAAGATAAGATAATATACCAATTAAAATTCCACATATAACGGAAATTGGACTCCAATTTCACAATACAATTTAATTCAACCCTGTGAGTCTGGTGATGGGATATTGTTTCCAATCATTCATTACCGCAATTAAATTTAATGATTTCAACCAATTGCTATAATATACATGGCGTTTACAAGTACCTGTGAAAATAGATAAATATAAGGCTTACCTATCGTCGTGGTGGGCTTGGTCACTGTAGATTGTGTGCTCGTAGACAGCGTGGTGGCCTTGGTGGTAGGCTTTGGGTCCAACGTGGGTTTAAAGGTAGCTACAAAAGAGAAAATGCACAAGGGGAGTGCACACTACATATGAAGGCGGGGTTGGGCTCTCAAGTCCATTTGCTTAACTGACATCCTACTTTGAGACGGACACCAAAATTGTTCTATGTAATAAGGACTCGAGAGTTTCGTTTGTTTTCAAGGTGGAAAGGCAAACATTTAGACAAGTTGATAGTGGAGTTTTTTTTAAGCAATTAAAACGTCCAGTCGATTGGCTAGATCTTAAAATGTGTACCGATCAAATCTGAATACAGCTAGGCTGAATGTGACAGTGTATTTAAATTATGGGCGTTGCTGGTATACTTGAATAAACTTTAAGCAGGGGTTGCTATCGCAATACGGCAAATTTCACGGAACTCAATAATGCTTAATATTTTCCCAATGAAAAGAATCTGGACATCGGGCTACCAGCAGCTGGCCTACTGCCAGTCTAACTCAGTCGTGGTGAGAACATGTGTCGTGGTGAGAACGTGTGTTTTAAGGAATACGGCCTACCTGGGTCGTCCGGGCATTCTCCCAGTGCCAACTTAATGTCGTCTATAGCGTAATCGCTGTACTGACTGCCACTTGTTAGTTTGACCTCAAAGGTCAAGGCCACAAGTTCACCGGTCACGTTCACACGTGCACGCTGCCACTGCTGCAAACCTGAGCCTGTGTCAAGAAACACATTACCGGTACATTATAGTGGATATTCTTTATATGCAAAATAAACAAAGATACTCGTTTTTAACTCTTTTATGTTTTATGACCTCCAAATTGGTCTGGTAGAAATAAATGAAGTTGTAGTTGACAATGCCTCAATCGTGGATCTAAAATGTAAATATACTGGGTAACATATTGTTCCAGAAATGATGTAAAACATCGCATCGCACATGTACATGTACATCATCATTAGTTTGTTCACGTATTACGATAACCGAAGTCACCCCCTTGAAACACTGCAAACGCTGCAAGTATGCACTTACGGTGACAGCGTCCCCACTTAATGGCGTTAGCGTCGGTTCCACACCATGGCTCGTCATTACCAAAGTTAAGGTAGGTAGTACAGCTGTACTCGTCCGTAAACCCCGGATTGTACGGGAATACGCAAGGTGCCCCTTCTGCCGTGCCCTCATAGGTCTGCTTGGTGGAGACTAAATAAAGGGATTGATTTTCCGTAATTTTTCAAGACTGGGGAGGACAAATTCAACTTTCTAAGGGAAGACCTTTTAATTAAAACAATGCTGAAACTGCAACTGGGCGATTTGACAAACATGCAAAGTTTAGCTTCATTCGTTGAGTTCTACAAATTTTCCTGGTGACAGGTCAATTTAAATTAAAATTGTCAGTAGGCAATTTCGACATACAAATATTTCATTTGCGTCATATTTTGCTAAAAGGGGACCATAATTCCTGCAGTCACCACTCACCCTCTCCCTGCGTCTCCCACAGCGTCCAGGACACAGTGCTGGCGTTCTTAGCCAGCACCCTGAGTATCCCCACGTCGATACCGTACTGGAAGTACCAGAACTCCAGGCACTTGTTCTCCCTGTTTGTGATCGGGGGTAAGAAAATACGGGCGTCGTCGCCCTTCCCGGCCCGTGTGGACTCCACGTAGAAGTAATAACCTGGGGGTAAGGACATGACAAAGTTGTTACTATAAGTCAAATAAATATGCTTACTTAGAGGCGTGTATAGCAGAAACATGATCGAACGACAGTAAAAATAAAATATTAGTAAAGCACAGGTGAAAACACTAGCCTTGATTAGTATAGAGAAGGGTTAGTCGGAGCAATGGGTTTAGCATATGGGATAATGAGACGAATGTCACCTTTACACAGCAATGGGGAAAGGTTTACGGTTCCTAGCGGACTGCCATTCCTGTCACACCTATGTGCATTGGAGGCAAGTACGTTTACATGTTTATAAAATATATTTTGTTCACGTCCTACTCGTAGCCTACTGGTACATGCGTCTTGGAACCGTCAATATACCGTCAGAGTATTAGTAAACTGTACAGAAATTTGCACATCATTATTTAAAAGTCTTTAGTTCATGTTATCCCTACCTCCATTTCCAGTGTGATCCCCTTTAACGGGACCCGTATATTTGGTCGGTGCCCTCCCCCGCCACCGCTTCCAGTTTAGTGTATCCGAGGGATCTTGAAAGAGGCCACAGTCTGTGGAGTCGAATTCGCAGTTAAACAAAAGGCTGTTGCCTTGAAAGGTTGCCACCCCTGGGTTGACTAAGGTATTGGCAGGGGGTACAGTGGCGGAACCCGTTGGTGGTGGGGGTAGAGTAGTGGTTGTTGGAATAGCAGCTGTGTCATTAATGCAAGGTCCTACTGAACCTGAAGCTTTTAGAAAAAAAGGCAAAATTTAATGTTATATATGCAACTTTTACGTTACTCAGCGTGGGGTCACATATCAGGATGCCGCTTTTCATATTGATAATAATATATCTACTAAAAGGATAACAAACGTCAGTCTTTAATGCAGAAAACAATGTATACGTACTGTACCCAGTATAACAGAATCAAGCGTTTCTAAATATTCCAATTTCAAGAGCCTTTTTTCCTAATCTTAGCAGTCCTTAAATGATTAATTTATGAAATTCATATTATTATCCAAATATTAATGGAGAAAAAATATAAAGATTCGATGTGCTAAGACTGAAAAAAAAAATAATAACACAAAGTTCATTGTCCGTATATGATATGAATAATGAAAATTAAGTACACCAAACATCTCGACACTCACGCTGTGCCACACAAGGCCCCTTTACCACTGTGATGTCATCAATGGCAATATCCGCGAAGTAACCGTTGCCCATGACGCCCTCAAACATAATCTCGTACCTGCCGCACGGGAGGGTTGCATTGGCCCTATACCAAGCGTTACCCTGTTCGCCTTAAATGGAGATAAATCGCCGGACGTAAACAGAGATGATCACTTAAATCAAAGCGCACTTATCTTTTATATTTTTGTTCCTTTAAGTAACTGCATGTAAAGATACATAGCACAATAAAATCGCAAAAATACAAGCTAGGAATTTGCTATAAAATGGTAAAAAGTCAAGTTAAAAAGTAAAACTTTTTCAAAAATAAATAAATAAATTAATAAAAATTAAAAAATAAACTAAGTGATTACCCTAATGAAAAAAAGTAATATACAGGGTATTTTATACTACAACAGTTCATTTTACAAATTACATTATAAAATCCACGCCAAAATCCGTAGTTTGTCTTACCGGTAAGAGACCACATCTGCACCGTAGCGCCATCTATGTGAAGGTAGACATTGAGGCGGCCGATATCCTTCCCGTACATGTGGTAGAAGAAGTTGAGGCAGCGCTGCTGCGGCGAGAACGAGAATTCTGGAGAGTAGAGACGGGCAACCTCGTTTGGCTTACGTGGATACGAGGCCTCTATGTGTGCGTACTTGCCTCGCCCTGGAAAAAAGAACTTTATAGAGGCTCATTTTGCTAGCCATCTCCTAAAATACAAATTAAAGATCCTGCTGTGTTGATTTATGAAATATTTCCACCGACCAGGATCTTTAAATCGGGTGAATGAAATGTCACATTTTATTACAACTTAGGTCTGCTTAATCGTGTCCTTTTCTTTAGCACCTAAAGTTGCAGTAACAATGGCTGTGGTAGTATCCCCGTGGTAATACATCCAGAATTATTAGTCTTGAAGTGCAATGCCAAAATGATAGCTTAAATACGGAGGTCAAAAGAACCTACATGACCCTTGGGTGTGGTCACTGGAGGGTCCGGTGCGGTCAGTCTGGGTCTTGCCTGACCCTATCCTCCAGTCAAAATCATCGTTAGTTTTGTCATCTTTAAAGCCGCAGTTGTCATCGTCAAACGTGCAATCAAACTCAATGTCTGAGGCTGAAAGAATTAATAAAGTGTTAGGCGTCTCAAAAGAAAGACAAGAAAATCTGTCCACATTACGGTTGTGTATTTTTAGTCTCTTCATTAAATATTTTTTATATTAAGTTAAATAAGTTCAAAGAAAAGATGACACAATTTACTTGTTTCTTTTTTAAGGATTAACAAACGTTGTTAAGGTTAATGAAACATTTATATTACAAGATACAGAAACACAGGGCAATTGTGTTAGGTGTGATAACACAGATCAACTAACACAATACCTGAAGACGGGGTCGGTGCTGGAGGAGCAGGTTCCAGAGTAGGACGAACTGGCGCTGTAATAAAGGCATATTACCTATGGTATCAGCTGTTCGATTGTGTGACTCATGTTGTTATTTTGTATCATTTTTGTGTATGGAATCATTATTATAATATTATATAAAATTAAAAATACGCACTGGCATAAACTAGAATACCGTTATTTTATACAATAAAGTTAAGAATATTAAAAGCGGAATAACATAGCTGAAAAGCTTATTTCCTGAAAGCATAGGTTTAAACTCATATATATATATATATATATAGTCGATATACGTGCACAAACTGTTTAACTTCGTCACGCTTCTGTCCCTCTACTCCCTTCTCAATTAACTTACTTACTTGGGATATCGGGACATTTCCCAAGCCCTATCTTGATATCATCTATAGCATAATCACTGTAGAAGCTGTTACTTGTCATCACAGTCTCAATACTTATGGTGGGCACGTCTCCGGCAATATTCACCAGGGCCCGCTGCCACTGTTTGACCCCAGAACCTGAGACAGAAAATATAAATTCAAAATTTCTAAGATTGGAAGCTTATGCAAACACCAGAGTTCTTTACTGAATATAAGGGCCTATCCGGATCTTCAAAGGCTCGAAATATAATTCAAAGAGCAAAATGGCAATTGACGCAAATTAAAATTGTGAAACAAAGAACCACGTATATTTTTTCAAAACAATTAAACAAAGGTTCTTCGCAAAATAAAAAGTACCTCTATTGGACTAATGCTTAGCACTTACATACGTAAGTATATTAAATGTGGATAAGAGTACTCACGGTAACATTTCCCCCACTTGTTTGCAGTTTTGTCCGTGCCACACCACGGCTCGTCGTTGCCAAAGTTTAGAAAGCTCGTGCAAGTGGAGAAGGTGGAAAAGTAGTTCTTCGTGAAGGGGAAGACACACGGCGCTCCACCTGCAGTTCCGCCATACGTGCTCCCTGTGGTGACTGTAAGTAGAAAAGAGCACGTGCAACATGTGTCGTGAAACATGTTCGACATATATCTCAAAATAGTCACCAAAAACTATTCTTTAACTGTAAAAGCATAATTACAAAACATTTTTTTCTAATTCATTACAATGAAAGCCACAAAAGAAACCACTCGACAAATAAAAGATAAATAAACAAGCCAACCTTAACATATCTGGAGTGAAAATATAGAATGATAACAAAAAAAAAAAAATAATAATAATAAAATAAAATAAATAATAATAATAATAATAATAATAATAATAATAATAATAATAATAATAATAATAATAAAAGTAATAATCGTTATTTTGTCTAAAAACACCCTACCGATCAACATGAAAATACTATCAGAAAGAACACACCAACCTTCGCCCTGTACTTCCCATAACGTGGAGTGAGTGGCTGTCTGCAGACTGTAAGCCCCTACATTCAGTTTTCCCATGTCTATACCATACTGGTAGTAGTAGAACTCTAGGCATTTGTCGTCAGTGTTATTTAGAGTTGGTAACAAGAGCCTGGCAACGTCTCCCGTTTTCCTTCCGCTGGATCGTGAGTAAATGTAGTAACCTACAAATAGTGATGAAAAGCGTAGATATTTTGTTGTGGCACTGTTCCGAAAATAATTCTTCGTATTAGAGTAAATGTAATCCAGTCAACTTCCACGGTTACATAGGATTACGGCCGCCATAATTTTAAATCACGCGGAAGAAAATTAAAAGAAAATTTACTCGATGATCTGTTTGGCTTTAATTGCTCTAATTGTATTCAGTATTGCGTTAGATGTGACTATGTCAGAGAACTGCATTGTGCTAGATGTGACCAAGTCTAAATGCTGCATTGTGTCAGGTGTGACAGTGCTTTTGCTTATTGGCCATAATGGCATTATCGTGCATTAGATAAGACAAAATGAAAATGGCTGCATAGCATTTAATATGACAGGGCACGTCTTATTTCAGACATGGAAAAAATAGGCATACCGTTGTTTCCAGAGTGGTCTCCGTTCGCTGGGCCAGAAAACGTGCTAGATGCTCTCCCCCTTCTCCTAGCCCAGTCTAGCTGGTCTGACTTATCCTGGTTCATACCGCAGAAATTGCTATCGAACTGGCAGATAAAGACTAGTGTGTTGCTCTGGAAGTTGGCGATCCCAGGGTTGACCAGGCGTGATTTGGGGGGTATGGTTGCCCCCGGTCCCGTGGGGAGAGGGGGGAGGGTGGTGGTGGTCGGAAAAGCCGCGGTGTCGTTTATACATGGACCGGCAGTTGCTGCAGCTGAAGGTTGACACGAGTGTTTTTTTTTTTCTATAAATTCTTTTATTCATGGCTAATAATGTTTGTAAATTGTTGGTACTGTTAGACAAGGTATATTTCACACAAAAAAAAATCTTTAACAAAAATCCGTACCAATTTTCGGGAATTAAAACGGATTATCGTTATCATCCATCTACTTTATACACAATTAATTGACAAACAATTGATAACTAAAAAGGTACTATACTGTGACGACACAATTTTAAAAAATCTCTTGAGATGAATAACACTTACCGTCCAAATCACATGCAGTATCGTAGACAACAATATCATCTATGGCAATGTCCGATCTAGGACCGTCTCCAACCACGCCTTCAAACATGATGTTGTATCTGCCGCATGGGAGGGAGGCGTTTGCACGTAACCACATATTACCCTGGTCACCTGATCAGCATGAAATGATGACGTGTCCAAATGTACAGTGACGGCAGAAAACAGGTATCTTTCTGTTCTCTGAACTGATTTTAACGCCCATTAAAAAAGATGTCTCTAGACAGAACGGTGACTTATACTTTATTTAATTTAGAGTTAGACACAATTAAATCAGCAATCAAATGTTAGTTTTATAATTCATTGTTCATTTGCATGAAAACTTAAGCCACATTGAAAACGGTCTTAACAAATCATTATACAGTAGCTATATTCGCTTGATTGCAACCTCTAAAGCTTCAGCCCTTTGTAAGCAGTCGATATGGTAACAAGTGGGAGAGATTTCAAAGGGCTGAACGTGTTGCATTCAAACGGCAACCTCCCGAAGGTTGAATTGGCTTTTACCATTTTTCTGAAACTTTTTAAACGCGGCTTTAGAGTCGAGATAAGATCCCTGCTCTGCTACATGTAGCTTACCAGCCATAGTCCAGATCATCATCTTGGCCCCGTCCACGTGGAGATATACGTTCAGTCTGCCCATGTCCAGGCCGTACATGTGGTAGTAGAAATTGAGGCATCTTGGGCGGGAGCTGAACGGGAATTCCTTGGAGTAGAGATGAGCGAAGTGGCCTTCCTTGCGCGGGGTGGAGGCTTCTATATGAGCGTACCTCCCGTTACCTGAGAAGAGGTGCATATTGATATTTTAGTATAAAGAGAAGACAGTAAAGTATATTCATGATAAAGCGCTTGTTAAGTATTACAAATTGCCGAACTTACTCAATTTCCAGCAACATGCGATATCTTCACATCAACAGAGTTCGGTCTTACATATTTATAACAATGCTAGTTCTAGGCGCTTTTCAGTCATTATTATTTCTGATAAAATTACATCAGTGGGGAACAGTATACAGGCTACATGTACCATTTCAAAAGCAACACTGTTCTTCTTTCCATTTAGTTCGGAAGGTAATTCACGAGTTTAAATACATGCCTAGGTCACTTATCATTTATGAAGTGCAAGGTAAACAATCTAATCTTCAAACAATTGATACTCTTAACTAACACTCTCTTCTCTCAAGTATTAATTTAATCTTCTATGTACACACATCAGCTGATGTCGTAGATAATCTCAAGTAGGTGATCGCGATACGTTCTCTACGGGCTAAAGGCCCGCCAGATCACGAGGTCAAGTGATACAATGGGCACTCGAACAGTAATGTCAACTGATATGTAATGACCACATTAAATACGCGAGTGCAGAGATCAAATTGATAGACAACGTCAACCAGCTCCTCTGGGATGTCCATATTGTGTCCCAAAACACAATGAGAATATTCTATGAGACCATTCTAACAGATATTTAGATCGATCTATCCCCTGGGGAGTCTCGCTAGATTGCTGTCAGCTTCACCGGCTTAAATGCCTACTAAAAGCTATAAGGGGGTAATAAACTTTTGTGCGCGCTCGGCTCCCGGAAGCTGACAGCAATTTAGCGTGTACCCCCAGGGAGTTAGGCCGATCCAGATAGATCGATCTAAATTTGTTGGAACCCAGTCTATGATTTCACATACGACTAAACTTAGGACGATATAAGCCTTAAAGTTACTAATTCAGTTACTTAACATAGACTTCATATTCTAAACTCGCTCTTCGTCTTGTAATTTAAACCTCTTTGTCCTTGTAAATATTAATAATAATGATAATAATAATAATAATAATAAAACGTCAAATGGCAAGTTAACGGCATCGCTTATATTGTTTAATAATGTGCTAAATCATTTACTCAGTGGCATCAGTTTGATCTGTATACTTATCCATCTATCAATTGAACTATTCAAATAATAAACATAATCATAATCTAGAAGACTTTTATTGGAGCCTTCACAAGAAGGACAGGAATCATTATGTGCGCAAGCAAACGCGCCTATGACGAGGCTTAAAGTGCAAATTTACATGTTTAACAGTACGTACGGTTGCCGAGGGTGTGGTCAGCAGAGGGTCCCGTGTAGGGCGTCTGCGTGGGCCCTTGGCCTATCCTCCAGTCAAAGATATCGTCAACACGATCATCTTTAAAATCACAGGTGTCTTTGTCAAAGGTACACTCGAACTCGACATCCGCAACCGCTGTAGTATAAGATGGTGATATTGAAATTTGATGTAGTATGTAATAGTCGAAGAATTTGATATTTCGAAACGTAATTGTGATTAAGTGTGCTGACTTTGTATAAAGACCGATTCAGTTGTCTTAAATAATGGCTGTTAAAGTTATATACATGGATTGATATTTCGTTGTTTAGAAGTATGGTTACAAAAGAAAGGTATTTTTAAATTCTTCAAGCTCCAAAGCTCCACGTTGAATCATTACTGAGCTCAGTATTAAATTATGATATAATAAAATATTATGATAAAACATATAATTCCCAAATAACACACAAAAAGGTTTTTATTAGATAAAATGCATGTCCACTGAGTATGCCAAATTGTTGGGGCAATAGAGGTATTGAAAGAATTAATGGTTGAGAGGAAAATGAAACAATACTCGAATCTCAAATCAAAGTTAGCTATTCATTTAGCCTTCAGTATGTCTACTAGTTGAATTTTTTTGTGGAACGTCATGACTCATGTGAATTTAATTCTAAAAAGAGGACTTATTTCATTATGAAACAAAATATACATGAATTATAGACGCTCATTTTCAGAGATAATCTTACCTATGCTCAAAGAAGCCAGGAAAATAACTAATGATTTAGTGTCCATTTCTTTTACAATAGTTTCCCGTCTCTGTTTCGCCCAGCGTGGCTCTCAATGTGAGAAAGGAGGGTCCAGAAAGTGACACTTATAAGCAGTAACATTACGTAACCCCATTGTCTTGATAACGTGACTCACGTGTTACGTTGCCCGGATGTATTCCTTGTATAATTGAAGTACAACGACCATCCATTCTTGATTTGTCCCTAAATCTTATCGTGTTCAGTAGATATGAGTTGTCGTAAACCACCCAGACAATACAGCAGTCATTTTTATTTCGTTGCCATGTTGATTCTCATCTCCAAGACCATTTTTACAGTTAAGACAAACCAAGGGAAATTTTGTAGACATATTAAAAGGTACATGTATTCTATACTGGGGTTTCCCTACAAAATGAAATGTCCTCTAGAGAAAAAAGGGAAAGGTTAGTAGCTTTGCAGGTTATGTAGACATAGATAATTGGACTCTGGGAACGCGTGCTGTGTACTTTAAAAAATGAGCAAGCACTTAACTTTTGTTTGTCCAAGAAAGTTGTATCCAGAATAGACCCACAATAATTGCAGTTAACATGTAGTTACAATAAATAAATAAATAAATAAATAAATAAATAAAACGGGCTAATGTCACCACTATGAGTTAATTTTTTTTAACAATGTTTATTCGAAAGAAATGGAGGCATTAGATGCTCTCCCCAAAATTAAATAAGTAAATAAATAAAACAAATGGATACAACAGAATATATATATAAGCCAAAAAGCTAAAAAAAAAAGGTTAGCGACATTTTAGTTTTTCCATGTGTGTGTGTGTGTGTGTGTGTGTGTGTGTGTGAGCGCGAAAAGCATTAGTCGGCTCAAATTCAGCTGTCTTTCCAAACAAAAAATGAATTAGAAATTTAAGTCGTAGTGAAAAACAGGCTTTGGAGAGAGAGAGAGAGAAAGAGAGAGAGAGAGAGAGGTGGGACGGGACATATATGCAGGTCCGTAGCCGGGGGGGGGGGGGGGTCGGGGGGGTTCGAAAAACCCCCCTTTTTTCAGAAAAGGTCCATTTCGGGGAACAATTTGATCTAGGGAACACAAAGGTTTCATTTATAAAAGGCCCACTTTTTCAGAAAAAGAGCCCCCCTTTTGAAATTGCTGGCTACGGGCCTGNAAGTAAAATAATCAAGTAACATTTTCCTGTCCTAAACCAATAACCACTCAGGCCCTTAGACAGGGAAGGGGTTCAGGGGGGTTCGAAAGAACCACCCTTTTTGTCAGAAAAGGTCCATTCTGGGTACAATTTGATCTAGGTACACAAAGGTTTCATTATAAAAGGTCCACTTTTTCAGAAAAAGAGCCCCCCTTTTGACTTTGCTGGCTACGGGCCTGTATATGTATGAGTGTAACACCTCATTTCCATAGATTAGATCGACCTACTTTAGATCGACCTAACTCCCTGGGGGTTCACGCTAAATAGCTGTCAGCCGGGCGGACACGAAAGTTAATTACCCCTTACAGCTTGTAGTAGGCGGGACGGACATTTAAGTCGGATTATCTGAAAGTAATCTAGTGAGACTCCCCGCGGGGATAGAACGATCTAAAATCTATGGGAATAGAGCCTAAGTGTATCAAGTCCCCTATTTAGGTTACCACATCACATACTGTGGAGATCAGTGTCAGTCTTATGCATCCCCTTCACATAAAACACACATTTTCCGCCCCATTTTGTCTTAATGTGTTTTCAGGCGAGAGACGCAGGTGGTAGGAGCACAGGTCTCAAACTACTGCACATGCGCGAAAAGTACGCTGTTTGAAATAAACAAATAGTGAAATTGACAAAGCCTGTCGGTGTTTACCGTCTGGTTGATTTGATTTAATTTGCTTTCTGGTGTTGTTTTGAGAAATTATATGAGAAATATTCTGTTGATTGTATGTTTTAAAAAGCAAATCCATCGAACTTTCCTGATTAACATTCATATTGCCGTCATTATAAGGGGGATTCCCTTCGCATTTATAGTGTTATATGTGGCCCCAAGGGGATTTTCCACCCCTCCCCCACTCTTGATTAATAAAATTCTTCATCTGGAGGATTGTAAATTATATTGCAAAATACATTGAAAATCGTAGGAAGGTTAACTGCAGATAATGCTGCGAGGATATTCTTAACAGTGGGGGAACTCGGCCAATATAAAATTTTTAACTTCGTTTTACGATTTTGGAGCGCCTGTTCTAATTTTTGAAAGCGAGGCAATGGAACCAAACAATGCGATACAATTTGTAATCTCGTAAAAATTGCTATTTTTATATAAAGGGCATAGCGTGGAGTACATCGAAATACAACTTGTTTATTATTATGATCTTAAATAATAATTAATATAAAACAAACGATATAATACGTTCTTAACGTTAGCCTATTTATTAGCTTAATTGATTTTTTTTCGTATTTGGAGATTAAAAACACAAAAGTTGTCTGGTTTCATATCGAGGCACCCCGTTTCGTTCGTGTGCTGGTGGTAGGGCTGTGTAGCAGTTAATGACAAGTCGCAAGACAAATACCGGTAAGTTTCATTCGAATAGTAATAAACGGAATAGAAATAGCCGCTTTACTTTTAAAAAATGACCACCTGACACTTTCCATAGAAATCAGATACACGCCTGCCGTGTTCGTGTTAATATAAACCCGTGAATGCATTGTGAAGTCATACGGTAGCGACATCTCGTAAAGTGGCATATAAACTGACGTGATTCACGACCACAAGTATTAAGCTACTTCACTTGTATGATTCATACAGTGGGCTTTCCTTTTGAGTCCTAAATGTTTCTCGCATTTTCCTGGTTACATTAGAAGTGACAGGCGGCGTAGCACCGCATTTTTTCTTGTATGTGCTGTAATATCGTTCTATTGGTAGGTTTTGAGAAATGTGGCATGATTTACAAAGCACATCTAGCAGTTGCTGTCTCAATAGTTTGTCAGGTAAGCACTCTTATTTATTTTATTTACGTGTGTTTACGGTGTTTACTGCTGCGCAAAAAATGTACGTGGCATTGGTGTTTAACGCTGAAACTGGACTGGTTGAACAAATACATGTAGTTACAACAGAAGGGCTTACATATGTACCTTCTAAGCAAAGAAAAGTACGTTTAGGGGCCATATCCAACCAAATGTAAAAGTAGTTCATTCAGTAAATTTGTAGATTGAATTCTGTAAAATGTATGGCGCTTAATTACCGGATATGATAGTTTCATGTATGACAAATGTGCTACAGGCCTATAATACTGTACCAGTGACAAGATGTCACGCAAAATAGAACTGTTACTACCAAATATAGCGTATACAGCAACCAAGGAAGTAAATATTACTTCCTTGATGAAACAAATTATGTATGCCGCTTTTGCCAGATGACAAACCATGTACACTGTAATAGAAGGCAGTATAAAATCGTATAAGCATGTCATATAAGCTCCCAGCGCTTGCTTCACTTCCGGTTTAGCTACATGTAGACCAAGCAGGCTGTTCGTGCATTTTAGCGGAGAAGTTTTAAAAAGTATCGTGTTTTTAACTGGCAACATATCACCCTTTAAAACGTTATAGGTTTAATTTGAATAGATAGTATATTATGATATATACTGTACACAGACAAACGGCCCTTTCCATGAGAAAGGAATCGGTTGTTGCAGACCCGTAGCCAGCAATTTCAAAAGGGGGGTTCTTTTTCTGAAAAAGCGGACCTTTTGCCATAAAACCTTCATGTACCTAGATCAAATTTTACCCAGAGTGGACCTTTTCCTAGCAAAAGGGGCGGTTCTTTCGAACCCCCCGACCCCCCCTGGCTATGGGCCTGTGTTGCTTGACATGTCTTCAAATATTGACAAAATTTGGAAATATCTGTTGGGTTGCATGTTATTTTGTGATGCGTGTATTTCTATTTGACGGCCAGTTTGGTCAAGTTGCTGCTCTTGACGTCACGTACAACGCGTCTATATATTTTAGGTGCTCTCCTACTCCTTTGAGGACAGTTTCCGTTGGAAACCTGCAGAACACAGGAGGAAGAGAAAAATAATTGATTTTAAGGACAAAGACAAACGACTGTGGTCCATGCCAGTTCCTTATGCTTTCTCTACAAATTTCACAGGTGATCCTTTTTTTATTCTTTTTTTAAGAAATCTGTCTGGAGTGGACATGATTATAAAGCAATTGTATAAATGAGTATTTATTTTAACAGATAAAAGTTTATAAGCATTATTGAACAGGTGTCATTATCATTTTATACTATAACCCAGCAAACGTTACGTTGCAGCCGAAAGTGACAGAAAAATAGTCCGTGCTGCCATCAGTGAGTGGGAACTAGAGACGTGTGTGAAGTTCCGGGAGGTGGAAGACCAAGAGGAATACGAAAGGACGACCGTTGTTCTTGTTAAACCGCAAGATTCTAGTTTGTAAGCTCCAGTGAATATTTTACGACTTTTTGTTAAAGCTGACCATAAAAAAATTTAAGTTCGTCAGCTTTAGTGGCAAGTTCACAAATTTTCCCAAGCTAAAGAAAATATATAAAAAAAAAACATGCACACTGCCTTCCCTTTTATAGACCCGCCTTAAAATTAAAATGACAAGCGGAAGCATCCTCTCCACATACCGCGGACGTCGATATCGCATATATATTATAGTGTTACTGTATATAACATTTTTTCTACATATAACGTATTCAGATGTGGTGTTGGGGCCGGAAGAATCTACATTTTCACAGGGAACCGTCAGGTCCTGTTCCTGGGACATCGCTGTTTAACGGTAGTACTAGTACATATTCTTTAATTAGAGACAATTAAATCGATCACAACTGTAAAAATATTGTACATTCTTTAAAAAATAGACATACTGCATGGGAATCATGATTTCACACCGAAATACTGTAAATGTACAGTGATTGTGCGTGTGCGTTAAATACAGTTTCAGTTGCAATTTTGGATGTTGGGTCGCTTTCACTTTCACTTTTATACTTAGCTCCTATCCAAACTAAATACCACCAGGACCAGAAAATACCAAGATACCAATTTTCACACATTCCTTGCAGGTCCAGACGGTAGCCCATGAGTTCGGCCACGTTCTAGGTCTATACCATGAGCACGCACGACCCGACAGGGACCGCTACATTGACATTATATGGTCGAATTTGACGAACTTTGAAAGCACGAAGAAACAGTTTTCTAAAAAGCCGGAAGGATCCATCACCACGCTGGGGTTTCCTTATGATGTTGCATCTCTAATGCATTATGGTCCTCATGTAAGTTACTGCAACAGAGCATTAAAGGTATTCCGCTAGCATTTGGAAGTGTCCCACATTAAGCCAAAACTTCCCATCTTGCCCATTTCAGACCTTATAACGACAAGATCTCCACGTTAAAGTGTATTTGAAGCATACCTGATGTTGATATTTCCTTTTAAACTTGAGAATCTAAATGCTTAAAAGCTTAGTGTAGAATCATTTCAGATCTATGGTAAGACGTGGGATTCTGTGACAATACGTGCCAAAGATCCGCTCCTGCAGTTGAGTATAGGTGCCACCACCGACACCACCATCCAGTTTTATGACGCTAAAACTGTGAACTATTTCTATTGTAACGGTGAGTGAAACAGTCTTTCGGCATGTTTAGAGACATTAACGGGGTTAGAATCTTTGGTATAAGATATTTTTGCTATGCTTAGTCGATTTTTTTTTTTTTTTGGAAAGGGGGAGCCTCAAGCATAATAAGTTAGTGAATTTAACGCAAAACTAAAATCAGGGACATTAAATAAAACGGAGACCAAATTAAATTAAAAGTAAATAAATAAATTAATAAATGAAGTTAAATCTGTCAGAGACCTTGCAGAGTTTACTTTTTCATTTAATTTTTATAAATTGAAAGTTTGTCTTTACGTAAAGTGTAGATGTATTGGGCTCACTTGTGCCAGGATAAATATAAAGTTGTCCACATGTATGACTATGTTTTCATAGAAACATTTGGCCACTGCCTACTACACTTCTGTTAATGATAACATTGATATTGATCCACACTTTTATTCACAGATTCGTAATTATGAGGTCGGTTTAAAAACTTGCTGCTAAGGCTTTAAAAAATCAAATGTAACAACATGTGGTAAAAGTGGTTAAAGGCGTTCGCGTTTCAGAGGGTAAGACAGTAAGCAGTTTGTAACTGTGAGTGTGAAATGTTTTAAAGTACCAAATATTCAACAGTTTCCAAATTAGACACCTGCCGCAACAGCGTGATGAACCTTCAGTGCCAACATGGTGGATATCCCGACCCGAAATCTTGTCACCGATGTCGGTGTCCCCAAGGCTTTAGCGGTGACCTCTGTGAATGGCACGAACGATACACTGGAGGTAAATATAGCTGCTTAAAAAGTGAACCATATTTTTCAATCAATCAGGTAAAAAAAAACGAATCCATATCTACGGTTTTTTAACATTAATCTTTTTGACCTCTGTTTTTCTTTTGATTTCGTGTTCGTCCATCATCTGTTTTTATACAAATACTGAGTAGGCCCATACCACTTCATAATTTCACCTAAAACACAGGTTACAAAATGCTGCTTCATTATACTCTCATTGATTTTCCTTCCATCCATCCCATTCGCAGTTGATCTTTCAAAAATCGGTTAACCTTTCAGAAATCTGAATAATAGATATATTGAGCCATCCTATCCAGATCTCCCATGCTTGTTTTCGCAATTGATAATTACAACCGTTCCTATGAAACACGTTTAAGCTATATGTATTATACAAAGTTAAACAGCTACAACACAGGGTTACTTAAATTACAAAAAGAGCTATTTGTAGGAAAAGACGATACTTTTTTATGTAATACAAGAGTGCTTTGTCTTTCAGCTGATCCCTGCGGCGGGGTTATTCCTGCAGAAAGCTTCAACCAATCAATATATTCGCCCAACTATATCAACGAATTTGAACATTTTTCATACAAAAAGGGCCAGACTTGTAACTGGCTTATAAAGGTAATGTGCGAAAAAATGAAGGGTGCACCTCGGGGGAAAAAAAAGAATCTTGCAGTGTCCTGTGTTATCTTTCATTCTTCACTTAATGTATAGCAAATAATTGAAGAACACGGGCGGTGATTTATGTCGTGAAATTATCGACTTTTTCAATTTCAATTTTTTTTTTTGCAGTGACTAGGCTACTACCTGTAGATGTAGGCTACAGGTGCCTACCTCTGGTACTGTAAATGTACTCCATCCTTAAATGGAATGCTAGTGCATTTTTTCCGTCATTTTATTTTTCAAGGCACCACATGACAAATTGATCGCTGTAAGATTTACTGGGACGCGTTTTGGGTTTCCTTGCACGACGTACCCATATGTGACATGTGACGATTACGTAGAGGTGAGGTACGGGGACGACATTGGCGTAACAGGGGCAAGGTGAGAATACTGGTGGACGAATTGTTTGGAGTGTTTGGGGGGGGGGGGGTGATGGGGGAGGGGGGCTTAATGTAGGGAAAATACATGTAGTTTTGTTCTGTTTTGGAAAAAGTCGACTCTGTGGATGTACAGGTCACTGTGCTCTTCTTCTGAGATGTAGTCTGGGTTGAGAAAAGTACGATATGTAGGCCGCTAGCAGTAAATGTTGCGCTTATGTTTGAAAATTTCACGGAACACTTTGGAATGGCTCATATTTAAGCCATGTAGTTTAACATTAATCAGATGTACTGTATATGTACAATTACATGAAGTTAAGATCATCTTTTTAAGCCAATTTCAAATTTTTTTAAACAACGTAAATTGTGCACAGGTTTGGATATACCGTACATGTAGATCAAGTGCATAACTTGACATTATGTAACCGTGTTTCTTTGCCTTTCCAGATTTTGCTGCCAAGAAAGGCCGAACGTCACAATTATTTCGTCGAGTAACGAAGTTTTGGTCCTGCTGAGATCAACACGCAAAGAACATGCCGGATGCGGGAAGAGATTTGGGTTCCGTCTAAACTACTGGATGGTGAATCCAGTGAACAGAAATGGTACAAAATCGCGTTCATCTCGGTTGCTTGCAGTAAATACACTTTACCTGTTTTTCACTTATGTATGGGTGGTAGAATGGTTGTAGAATGTGTACTTAATGTATTTTCTTAAACAAACCAAAGCGAAAGTGAGTAAACCACTCAGCATTGTTTTTTATTTAAAAGATGCTTCCTAATATCACTTACAGTGTTGCCTTTGGGCTGCTTTAAAGTGAAGTGGTTTTATGATATATAAACTTTTTTGTTTTGGTAGTTGCTTCACTCAATTGTTATGTAATTTACTTATTTTTTCAATAAATGACTTAACCAATAAAAATAGAATGAAAGTGAACATGATAACAAATATAAAGATTAAACAAACAAAATTTTAATGACATACAATATACAGAAATGGTTTTTAAATAACAGAGTTCACCTAAAAACCACTTTAACTGTTACAGTAAACAGTGCTATGTACATAATGTTACAAATTATTATACCGTGTATGAAGTACTGTTATAAGACCCATTTGACTCAAGTGTATTATTCATTCTTGCTTTTAAGAGTCTAGATACTTCAATTAAATCCATTATAAAAATATGAACCAAGTAATAAATTCTGTTGGAAAATAAATAAATAAATAAATAAATAAATCCCATTTAAATAAGTTGATGGCTCTCACAACAGGACCAGAAGTAAATTTTGGAGGTAATTGTCTGTCCACCTGTACATTTTGGTGACTTCACCATCAGAGATGCACAGCAACTGTAATAGCATCCTTCATTATAAATGAAGTCTATGGAATAGTTCAGTGTCTATATTCAGAGTTAATAGATGGAAAGAGATGTCCAGAGTCTTTCAGCACACTTTTGTGTAAGTCTTTGTTTATTACAAAATGAGTTTCATCATCAACGGTCAAGGATCTTGAAAAAATATTCCACCTGAAAATAAAATAAAAACAACATATTTAAGTAAATGATTTTACACGTAAGCCATTTAACCAACAACCTTGTGATGATTCATAAGTTTACATGGCATCTGAAAGATATAGATTTATGAAGCAAACACTCGTCCCCCTCTCCCAAATTATTTTTGACACTGTAAATTCAAATAAACTGCATACAAGATAATTCAAAGGTAGTTTTCAATACCAGTCAACTCAACTACCCTGGGGTAGCCATTTGGCACGATTATATAATACTTGTAGTTATAAATGCATATATAACAGAATGNTAAGAAGGAATTCTTGACAGTCATCAATTTAGAGTATCCAAATGCAAATTCTTCAATAACTGAATATTTCTGGTGATAAAATACTTTCATTATTTGACACCATTTAATGTCAAATGTTTGACAAGCGAAAGGGGGTGAGGGTTTTCGGGTGCATCAACACAACACCCAAATAGCCATATTTCCATATAAATTCAGCAGACTTTCACCAGTATTAATGGTACGCACCTGTGCCGAACCTAGCCCTGATACTGTAGGGTGCCTCGCTCCTGGCCTCGGCAGAGTCAGTGGGTCCCAAAAGGTTCCTCCACTTCTCCACAGCGTTCTCTCCCATCAGTTCAAAGGCCATCACAGGCCCACTGGTGATGTACTGGATCAGGGTGCTGGGATAATAATAATAATAATAATAATAATAATGCAAGTGAATTTGTGCTGCATGTAAAATATTGATAATTGAACAGATTTGAATTAAAAGATAACATCATTGTGAATCATGAATAAAAAGGTTTTGAAATTCAGGTTTTTGTTGTGAGTAATACTACGTCAAAATATGTAGTGCATTAGTAGTTAGGAAGTACTGTAGTTACATCAAATGGTACAATTATCTGCCCTGCGCCAGTCTGGCTGGTCATAACACACAATTAAATTACACTACATGGGGTTTAGGCTTCGTTCACATGCAATGTCTATTTTCTAAAAATCTATTTTCTATTTGCGGTATCTTGTAATCACGGTCTGTGCCCTGAATACCCCGCGGCGTAATTACTGGCAGCGCCGATAATTAATTACAACTTTGGAAGTAACTGGATCGCGCTGCCAGTAATTACGCCACGGGATGTTCAGGGCACAGACCGTGATCACAAGACATACCGCGAATAGAAAATAGATTTTTAGAAAATAGACATTGCATGTGAACGAAGCCTTAATCCAGTTAGATCGTATTCAGAACAGATTATCCTTGGATCTACTTTTCCACAGATCAAATATGACGGACCCTACACGACAGCAAGACCTCCTAATCCTTTAATTTTCTTCCCGCTTGCTTCAACACAGATTAGAATTTGGCTTGGAGGTTTAATTGCCAGGCCCCAGCAGGGCTCCTACATAATTTGCCAGGCTATGAAGTTTTCAATCTATCAAGCTGGACTGGTACAGAAAAGAGTGCGACACCACTTGTTGGGAAAAGGGCCCAAAATACTGGCACTGCAGTCTCTTGGTGGTGTATCAGCAGCATATTATAAACCACTGCTTTTGAATTCCAACTGTTTTTGAACATTTCATACAAAATATACAGGGGCAGATCCAGAGCTATTTTCTGACAGTCTTCCAAATTATCTTTGTTGCTCCATCCTCCATTTTTTGACTTGTCTTCCAACAGAAAAAATTGTATACCCTTCAATGCAAACTTGAAAACCTGATCGTCTTCTGAAATACCCAGAAGACAGCCTCAATCCACCCCTGATATATCAACTTTCTGTACTCTCTTTTGTGCACTAAAAGAGGTAGGGATCTTTCAAATGGAGGCAAATATATATACATTTGTAAAAAGCTTGCTTAATATCAAATACTCTCAGCTGAGCTGAATGAGCAGAAAAAGTTAAGTTGGTGCTGGCCTTTTAGGGGAAATGGTGATCAAAAGAGTTGCTGCTTTATTTTTTTTATCTCATGAAAAATTACAGAGCCTGCCTCAAATTTGGAAATAAACAGTTCAGACTTACTTGAAAAACATTTTACTTTGGTGCTCCTGATAGAATTCCAATGCCTCATTTCTGGAGAGTGAAATTTTCTTCATCTTTGTGATGAGAAAGCCATTCTTAAAAATCAGGTCTAGGATTTCTCCCATCTTCTTCATGGAGTCTGGTTTGATCATGCCTAATGTTCTGAAACATTCAGAAAATCACATTTATTCTAGATGTTTAAGTATATATAGATTATAACTACATTGTATACATTGTTTTTTTTTTAAACACAATTTTCCTATCTGAAGCCAAGCAGTCTTTTATTTGTTTCTCAGATAAAAGAATGATTCCAATTTTAATTGCCAAAATTCTAATTATTCTTCAAAGTAAAATGTCAAACTCTAAAACTAAACGTTGGAAAATTTCAACTGGCAATCAAACCAGTAGTAGTATTGATCTGGAACATTATCTTCAGCAGTTTATAAACAAGGCCAAATAAGGAAAGAGGCAAATAGACATAATACTATAATTGTACGAAGATTGTCATAGAACCAGCAATATGTCATGGTTAAAGAATAGCTTTAACATAAAAAACAAATAAACAAACATACAAACCTCTCTTTCTTACTGCTCAGCTTCTTCCTGGTGTATTCGTCCCCATAGTCCACAAAGTTCAGCTGTCTGGCATGGACATTTATTGTGCTGCCAATGTACAGTTCATTTAATGTGATTTGTTCTGATTTTGTTCTTTTGAGGAAGTGCCTTCTGTTTTTTAAATCAAACTGGAAATCAAAATACAATATTTCAAATTAACATTTGCTTCATGGACCATTCTGAAAGACATGTACCTTTTGAACCAGGTGCAATGTACATGTACCAGGTACAGAACATTCGTACCATCAAATGTTTTATTCTTGTTCAAATACTTATTACTTCAACATGCCCTGGTATTCCTGCGAACACACTAATACTTGTGCAGTGGTTCCATAACTTTAGTTATTGCTTACACTTTTAATAATCTATTTCTGATAGATGATCAAAATTCTGGGACTCACCATTTCAATTGTATTGTCCTTTGGATAATACAGAAACTGGTACCTCCTGATAAGAGCAGCATTGGGATCATACCACTCTGCGATAAATGCATACCTTTCATCTTGAGTAGACTGGAATAAGAATTATTATAACAATATCAAATATTTTCACTGGGTGGCTGCAGGCAAACCAAATCCTACCCCTCCACCTCTTCCTCCTCATAATAATAATAATAATGATAATAATAATAATAATAAATACATTTCTATCTCTGTCATCCAAAGACTCAAACTCAGTAATGGTATGTGATGTTACCACCTGTCTGCAGCAATCAAATATTGAATTCGACACCGGTTTTTACACAAATGGATTTAAAAAAGATATAATTTCCATCAAATAATTTTAAAAAATTAGATGAAATATGTAATAATTCAGTTAATATCTTAATTTGAATGCAAGGTAAGGGGTACTGTATTCTCACGCAGGTTTTTGTTTCGGAGATGAACTATAGGTTTTCTGAGGCCCAGTGACTATTACCTCGATAAGAGCATGAATTGCTGGTGTCTACTACTAGCACTACCCACAGTTACTACATGTAGAGTAATACTAGTAAGTGCAAGACGAGAGAGAGAGAGAGAGAGAGAGAGAGAGAAGGAGAGAGAGAGAGAGGATTTCATTACGAAATTCCACTGAAAACGAGTAAATAAACTTCCCTAGAAGTGCTTAACTCACCATCGTTTATGTAGTCTTTTGATCCCAATTCAAATGTCGATAATTAGTAGAGAACTAGGAATTGCTGTGAATTCAGAAACCGCTAAGGCAGAGTTGTTGTTGGCAACAAAAATCCCGAACGACTTTGTGTCCTCTTTTCTTATTGGCTAAATCTAGTCAGCTGACTCATAAAGCTCAACTTCCTTTAATTTGAAAAGGTGAAGGTCAGACAAACCAAGAAAAACTTTTTGAGATACGATTATAGTGTTGGTTTATGAATTTGAAGGATATTATTACACATTACCTATTGAATTTTACAATATCTCCTTTGTTATATTGACACGGAAGAATTATGTTTTGAGAATAACCTATTGTTCCCGCCATCTGTCGGCAACATTGTTTACCATGGAGGAAGTAACGCCGAACCAATACATATTTTTCATTTAATTACTGAAAATCATTGGTAGGTATTATTTAAATACGAATGGCTACTTATATCTTACGACACAGAAGTTTATACTGAGGGAATCAAAATAAGTTGGTTGATTAGACCTGTATTATTTGAACACAAGTCTTCAGAATTTTGCATTACTGTTTTCAGAAACTCGAGAGTTGCGTGTCAGCTATCATCAGTCGAAGTAAGATAAATGTGTCACTGAATCTTCTAAGTGTCGTGATTAGACGGGATATATAATTTACATATACAGTAGCTCTGCGAAGGCTCCTTTAACGTGTTATGAAAACTTAAGTGACTGATGCATTTAAGCTAGCACGAAAATTCATGCGTTAGCACTCCTGTTGACGATTCTGATATGTACTGGCTGTGCTAACGCGTGCTACATTAAAGCCTCCAGGTGAAATTTAATTATCGAATTTCTCAAATCGGCTAACAATTACTGGACCATTTATGAAAAGAACATTTGGTCTGAGGATAGAAAACCTTGTTCTTATTGCATATGATGTGATAACATAATTTTAACCATTAATGTCAGTACATGATACTACATGTAGCTATGTAATTATGACAAGTCCTTATGTAGCATAGGGTAAACTGTATCAACAATTTATAAACTCTAGTGATAAATCTCAGATTTTTTTTCAGTATTGCAATTATGGCTACCAAGGGGATGCAGATAATTAAGGCCAACACATCCATAGTCAGGGATCAGGTGGTCAAGGGGCTGCCGTCAGATACAGGTGTGTTTTTCCCATTTGAAAAAATTTGAATTACTGGTATATAATTTAAAGTGTTCCATAAAGTCCAAGGCTAGATTGTAAGACCAGCTGATCTCTCAAGGATAGCAGGCTATCATCTCAGCCTTTACCCTATTAACCGTTACTTCCTCCTCATACTTAGGTGCTGGGCCAAAACGTGTCACATTTGATGAGAGTCAGGTGCCCCGTATTCCACACGAACCCACCAAGGCAGCAGTGGGGCATATCCAGAGAGGGACGTCTGGACAGTTAATGACCAAAGGGACAGTGTCCAGTTCAGGGGGTACTGAGACGAAACAGGGTAAAAAGGGGGACCACAGTAATACTAAGAGGCCACATCAGTATAATTTGGCACAGACTCCTACATCTTTGGGTAGATTTCAGAGAGAAAGTCATGGAGGGGCCAGACAGAAGACTGACTTGTCAAAGCCATCACCATTGTTCTATATAGCCGACAATGGCGATGCCTCAGACTGCAGTAGTGTTTCCGACTCCTCTGATCACATTGGTGCTAAGCAACAAAAGACAAAGGTCAAATATCAGACATCACTCACCGGAGGAGCTTCTGCACAAATGAAATCAGACTCCACCTCGTCCATCACTGGTTTAAAACTTCGTCCTATTAATATTGTGGATCCTATGCATTCTAAACCCACTGAAGACACACATGGGAAGACAGGTGCCAGTCAGTCTCTCCCAGATATGTCTCCAGAACACATACAGCTGGGCATTCCTATGGGCTTCAAGCTTGGAGGAGCTCTGGACATGTCAGATCCTGGAGGAGATTGCGTTGGACCTTTCTCCCCTAACACAATCAAAACACAGCTGAGGTCACTGCTGGAGGAGAAAACTGTGCTCAGATCTGAGCTGGACAAACAAGTGGAGGTATAATGTGTTGATGTAGTGAGGAAGTTGATTGTAATATTCATCTTGTTAACTTTGTGAGCAGTGTCAACGTGGGTTGATTATTTTTTAACTTAAAGTTATTTTTTAAACTTTTCAATTTCTACACTTACAGTGTTTGAGCTGTAAGCATTTCGGAAGCTTCCAATCTCGAATTTGGTTGACCGTTTAATAATTTATACTTTTCGGGTCAATCTGCCATCAGACTGATGAAAAATAATGTAATTTGTTAAAAGGGAAATAATTTATAAGAAAAGCCTGTATCCAACCCACATCACTTAAGCATATCTGTTTAGCGTAATAGTGTCATAAGTTCTTTTACTGAATCGTTATATACTTATTACTATAACTTTATATTTGTTTGACCCAGGTGAATTTGGAGTTGAAAAAATTGTTGGTGGCTTCTCTTGGTGATGACTTGCAATACAGGATGGAGAGGATGGCCAGGTATGTATGGGGTCCACATATGCTAGAGCATGGGGTCTCTGTGGATAAGTTTATAGTAATAATTTCAAATCTTAATTTCATGAGGTTTGGATGATTTTGAAAATTGCAGAAATGGAGGACTGATCATGTTATGAACAAAAGGAAAAAAGCAAAAAAAATTCAGATTTATTCAACTGACATCAGAAAAGCTTTTTCTTCTTCATATTTTATTTTAATAAAACAGCTCTATTTTTTTTTTTTTTTTTGTAAATTTATCGATTGTTAACCAACCAATTAATGAATTATACAATAACATATTAATTTGGTATTCAGTGGTGTTGATTCAGATAAAGTGCTTGTCTGTTTTCAGGGACAAGGCGTCCCTGGCACTGCAGGTGGGGGACTACTCTAAGAAGGTGACACAGGACACAGAGACACTGGAGAGTTTGTCCATACAGGCAGACATGTGGAGGAGCAAGTACATGGCAAGCAGGTTAGTACTTTTTACTCAGGGTCATATAATATATACAGATAATAGTGCCTATGGCAACCCCTGTAATTTCACTTTTGTCTAGTAGCAAATATTCTACGTTTCATTTTTTCCCCTTTTTTATTATTATTATTTATTATTTATTTATTTATTTATTTAATTATTGATTTTTTGTGGGGTGAGGAGAAGCTGTACTTATCATAAATATTTGAAAAGAAAAAGATGTTTCTGGTAATGAAATTATGAAATTGATATAAATTTACAAAGTCTTTGAGGTG